CATACTTCGAAATGAAAGAAATTAAAGCAACAGTAATGTGTTAAAATAACAAAATTTTCGGATAACACTGCAATATTGGCAGTTGACGGAACTAATACAGAGACCTCAGAAAAACTTCAAGAAACCTGTAACAGAATCAATCAATGGACAAAAAAGTGGAAAATAAAAATAAATCAAACTAAATCAGTGCATGTTGATTTTACTCTTCGACCAAATGAACAAAAACAAATTTTAATAAACAATGACGTTATTCCGCATCACGATTCGGCCAAATACCTGGGTATGAATCTAGATGTAAGACTTAAATGGAAAAATCACATAAAAAACAACGTAAAGAAATTCAAGTTAAATTCAAAAAAATGTATTGGCTCCTAGGAAGAAAATCCAAATTGTCAGTGTACAACAAACTGCTGATTTATAAACAAATCCTAAAACCAATCTGGATTTATGCCATACAGCTATGGGGATGTGCCAGCAAGAGTAATATCAACATGATACAAGTTTTCCAAAATAAAGTCCTATCGAAACGATTATCTTCATAGAGACCTGAAGATGCCAACAATCGAATAAGAATTAAAGAGGTTTGCTGTGATAGATCAGGGTCGATTCCACTTTCACGTCAACGAAAAAGCGCTGCAATTACTGGACAACTCTACACTCAACAGAAGGCTCAAAAGAAAAAAGCAATTTGAGCTAGTGCAGTAAACGTTAATGTTAGTGCTAGTGTAAAACAGTGTAATAATTCGTCACGCCAACGTATGATGCTTTCCTATAGAAACAATTAAGACAGCCCAATGGGAACTTTTTAGATAAGTAATTAGTTTATAAGATTTTTAGATTAAAATTAGAGGTAAGTTAGAGTAGTAACAATACTCTAACAGAAAAAAAAAGTATTTCAGGCACAATTTTATCAAAATTATTACAAATACATTTTAAAACTTCTTAAAAGATACACACAGCACGCGGTGTCATTAAAATATAAGAACAACTAGGACTTGTACAACTTTTATATTATTTTCAAAGGTATTAAACTTGTGCAGATTTCTTTTCTATGAAATGAGCGACATCTATTATCAATTTGAGTAATTTTGAATCTTTAATCCATAAATTCGATATATTACTACAAGATGTAGCAAAAATCGCAATTTCAACAAAAATGGACTTATGCACTTTTCACACATACTTTGATTTTCTTTTACTATTCGGAGAATGGTCGCACTGCGCAGCTCTCTGAGTGCCTTTTAAAAGAAGATACAAAACTCCGCCATTTTGATCCCATATTACGTGTTGCCTACATCTTGGCGCAATATTTTTAATAGGTGCATTTTAATCATCCGCTTCTGCTTCGGAATTTTCGGCTTTCTTGTTTTAATCTGACAGGTTAAAACGACTAAACCGACAATTCCGAAAGCAAAAGCGGATGATTAAAACGCACCTGATATTTTGCTTGCTGCTGTTAGTTTCAGTGAATATTATTTTTGGAGTCACAGTTTATTGCTAAAGAATCAGTTAGCTCACTCGGACCAGTTGAAAGTATCAAAATAACATCCACTCCAGGGATACAAATTCAGGATTCGCAGAAGACTGCTGTTTTATTATAGGCAGTTGTCGTATATTGTATTATCCGAGTTGCGCAGTGTATAAACTGGAACATTGAGATCAAAAGTGCCGACGCATAGAGAGCGATCTGATTCTTTAGCTATAAACTGTGGCATAGGAATCAAAATGACCGCGCCCTATGTTGGGCGTGTCGGACCCATGGAGGTGTAATACTAACCTCATTGGTCGGACCTCTCTCTTGCACCGTATAGTAAAGAAAATCAAAGTATGTAGGTTCTTTCGTTCGTCCCACTGGTATAGTTGGGTGTAGTAATGAACTACACCAACCCACACCCATACCTTTCGTTTGGTCCGGTGTAAAACCCACTATACCTTCCTGTCGGCGATGTGGTGTACACTGGTGGATATTTTCTCCACCAGCTATTTAGCAGGAGTAAATTACACTCGACGATGTGTATAAGGAATAAGGAGGAAGTAAATTAGTGTAAATAAGGTGGTGTTACTGGTGTAATTTACACTGGTGGACACTGCACCAACAGCGAACGAAAGAACCTATTGATTATAATATTGTCAATAATTATTGTTCAATTGTTTGTATTTGGGAGTGTCCTGGATCCTGGATGAATAAATAGCAAGTATTTTGTAAATTATTGTTTATTGTATTGTCAACTTGGTCTTGTTCAAATGTGTTTTTAATTTTTAATTTGTTTACTTGATGTTGCTGATGATTGTAAGCTTATTTTGAATTTTTGTGGTGATTTTTTGTTAAAAAGTTAAAATATGTCGTGTTGTAGTAACGGGGCTAGGAGAGTTCTAGCGCAAACCTTATGTGAATTAACATGGGAACTGATCCGGAACAGTACCGGATCAGTTCGGGATCAGTTCCAGATCAGTTCTGGCTCAGTTCCAGATCCGTTCGGGATCAGTTCTGCTGAGGTTAGGTCAGATTGGCAACAGTTAGCTGATGACGTCATAACGAGTGACCTTATTATTTGGACAAAAATTGGCAGAATAAACCTTAGCGATTTCCCATATTATTTCACACATATATGGTTTGCGCTAAAACTCTCCTATTTCCTTTACTGGTTGTTGTGTGCCAAATTGTTTTGTAAACACTCTGAAAAGACATCGTTTACCCAGACCCGATCCTAATAATGATTTATTTATTATTTGGGTATTGGTTGTTCGCAGTAATAATAAAGCAACACATCAAATTTGTAAAAACTGATTATTATGTGATAAACATTTTGAAGATAAGTTTAAAGTTTCTTGTACTCGCAGAGGTGTAACTGTTTTTTTATTTGTTCTAGTACAAACTTTTTTCAAGCCGTTTGGGGTGGCAGTATTGCACCGTGAAAGACAAACCAGCCTAGTCAGGGAAGTAATAGTTATTGTACTTTTTTTACGAATGCCTTACTTTCCCTGCTTTTTATACTGATTTAATTCAGATTGTTACTTATAATGTTTTTTTATTTGTTCTAGTACAAACTTTTTCAAGCCGTTTGGAGTGGCAATATTGCATCACTGAAGTCAAAACAGTCTAGTCAGGGAAGTAATAGCCACTGTACTTTTTGTATTCATGCTTCACTTTACCCGCTGCCTTACACATTTGATTTGTATATTGATTTAGTTCAGATTGTTACTTTTAATGTTTTTTTATTTATTCTGGTACAAACTTTCTTGAAGTCGTTTGAAATGACAGTATTGTATTGTGGAAGATAAAATAGCCTAGTCATGGAAGTAATACCTTTTTTATTCCTGCCTTACTTTCTGTGCTCCCTAACAGATTTGAAGGATGCAAGGAAAAAAGGGACCAAGTCACAATTACCAAAATGTTCAGGGAAGCAAATTTAATTTAAACTGACTAAATACAAACTTTTGATACTTTAAGGTAATTGATTACAACAAGATGTTACTTTGTATATATGCTGCCTAATTATGTTGTAGTTTATCACTAAAATATACAGTTGTAATTTTTTAAAGTACCAGACAAATAGTAGCTAAGGTCCTTGGACATAATTTTAAATGTACTGTTTTGCATTTGCTAACTTGGCTTATTACATAGAAACATACTGGTATTTTACAAAATAGAGCGGTATTAGTTCAATTTTGACTTAGTCCCTTTTTTCTTTCTGCAACCTTAATTTGCTTTATAAGTTTATTAATATTTATTTTTTGTTCCAGATAAAACTCTTCAACCGCTGTGGAAAATGAAACAACTTGACTTTCCAGCAATTTAACATGATAAATTTAATTCATAAATTAATTTTATTGGTCATGCTCTTGCATTTTTGTGTTTTAATAAAATATTTAAACTTGTAGTCAAGTCAGGATTGGTCCATACTGCTCATTTTTTGCTTTGTTGTAACAAATATAATTAGTATGAACAAATCTTAATTTGACTACCACTTTAAAGTGTAAATAGTGAATGATAATTTTGAATGTTCCCGCATGAGTAAAATGCACCTATTAAAAATATTGCGCCAAAATGTAGGCAACACATAATAAAGGTTCAAAATGGCGGAGTTTTCTACCTCCTTTTAAAAGGCACTCAGAAAGCTGCGCAGTGCGACCATTCTCTATATAGTAAAAGAAAATCAAAGTATGTGTTCTAGGCACTGTCTTGTGCGATCCGCTCGCCCTCGGTTTTTTGGAATTGCTCGGATAGCTACTTCCAATAGTTAATCGCTAGGCATTATTATACTCGAGCTATAATATTCCGAGTAGCAAATGCAGCCAAATTTTGTTGTGGTTTATTTTTTTATATTGATTAAGGGTTATTCTTGTAAATAGAAATATTAAAATGTAAATATTATATGTAGGGGTTACTAGAAATTGTTTGAGAGAATAAGAGGTATTATTAACACCCGTGCACCTGATAAAATATGATGGGCTAAATAGGTCAACATTAAAAGGCCATTCTTCGGTGCAAAAAGAAGGTTGATTGAGAGGGATGGGAAAGTGCTTCCTCTTTGATGAATGTCGCCGAGCCAAAAGTTTGTCGAATTTTATTTTTTTGTAAGGTGGATAAGTATTTGACAACTTGAGAACAAAGGTTTCGAATCCATTTCGTCGGTAAAGGATTTGTGTTTTATCCGGAATCCGAAACAACTTCCATAGGAAGGATTTAATTGGCGTTGAGGCCGGTCATCACGAGACTCGCCATTTTGTATGGTTGATCAAGGAAGCCGAGTCCACGGCTAGATGATTCTCATAGCCATCCTGTTGGGTCTGTTCATCCTCGAGGCCATAATTCGTACCTCTCTGTTGGTCGTTGGAGGTACCACCCCACCACTGTATGTCAGAGGCCTCATTGCCTCCTTTTGTGCCGTTCGAGTCACCCTATTGCAGTGGAGCATCGTCAGAGGCCTTCCCGCCTCTCTATTTATGGTCAGAGACATCTGGTTGCTGTCGAATTTCAGGAGTTCACAATCTCTCACCACTTCCACCACAAAGTTAAGTAGTGATAGTAAAGAAAGTTTTGATCTTGTTTCCCACCATGAAACCCTCCTTTCATGTACCCTTCGTACATATTGATAACATTTTACTATTAAAGGGGGATTTTCCTTAATTTTGGGTACCTACATACTCATGTTAATTTGCTCAATAAAAATATTTTATTGTTGATGGGGGCTTATTATTAGTTTTAAGATTTCGTAATTAAGTATAATGTTATATTATTTCTTCTCTAGGCTAAGTTCGAAATCATCAAGGTGCTGAGCTTGTATTTTGTTACGGATTAATTAAAATCCCCATAAATAGTTTAGTTCTCCACTTCAACGCCTTGATTGATCAAATTGATATTTGATTTCTTTTTGTTTTCTAGTTCTGACAAGATTTATTATGTCCAGAATATGACATAATATTGAATTGTATTTTGTATGATGTTCAGCGTTAACTATGTACTAATATATTGTTTTTGCAGATAGCAAACCTTGTATGCCCCCTTTTATTCGAACAAAATGGAGCCCTGATACAAGCGTAGTTATATATAAATAAATTTCCTCCATTAACAATAATAAACCTTTTATTTAATTAAAGTTAGAATGCAGCCTTGTCCAGAATCATAAAGCTGGAACTTTTGAGATGACAGTGCCACTTGCTTACTATAGTTCAAGGGGTCTTTTAGACGAACAATTATTAGTCTATCAGTTCTCAAAATATAATACATAACAGTTAATTAATGATTTTCATGATTAAAAGTTGTCTATCCTCATAATAACGAGGGATCCAGTGATTTGGATCAGCCCTTTAAATCACTGGCGCGATATAAATTACATAGTTCCCCATATCCTGAGCTAACAGATGTGTTTCCAAGGCATACGAGGGTAATAGATAACTTTTTTTTTGTGTTTGATCATTTTTGTTATATATAATAGTCTAAATAAAGAACCCCGATAACAATTTAACTGATTTATCGCTAGTTGAATCTTATTTTTAAAAAAAGAAATAATAAGTTGGATGTCGTCTGTGTAAAAATGGCTTGTTAAGTACCTTAGTGATTTGTAAAACTCAAAAGTATAGATAATAAAAAAGATGGGTCCTAAGGCAGAACCCTGGGGCACACCATTCTCAACTATCAGGTATTGCAACAATAGCCTGTGGTTTATGTTAGTTGACTTTATTCTTGCCTACGTTTGACACTGTTTTCGATTGTTCGAAACTTTAATCTCAATTTTTTTTTTGTTTGTAAGTTCTGTAAGTATCTTGTTCTTTTTTACCCGATAAAAAATTATATAATTATAAATATCATAGTTTAATAAGGCATTCTGTTCTAATATGTGGAGCTATTCAAGATAAATAAAAAATCTTACGAGTTACAAATGGGAGTAAAAAAACAGAAAAAGTAAACTTATATCCAAAAACTTCCAAATTTCCCATAATACTGTTTCCAGCCCATTAATCATTTAAAATAAAACGTAAAAAATTATCTTTACTAGTAAGACGACATTTTGTTTGCTTCAGACATGACTCTCGTTCACGCACTATAAATTACTGCCTATTTTCTTAACGTTATTTTTTATTTTGCATTCTAAAAATTTTGTTTGTCACAAAATTGATTAAGACGTCATGCAACACGGATTTGATAAATTTACCCGCAGATGTTTCGGTGCAATCGTACATTCGAAATCGGGAACAGGGTCAAACTAATAAAAATTTCATTCAATTATTTCCACTGTTTTTGGGACACACGAAAAGTTGTTTTTGTTATTTCGGCTGTAGAAACTACTACGAAATTTCTTGAGACAATTTTGGTAGGACAAAAATTCGAAAATAAAGAAAATGAAAGAAAAGAATTTGAAGACATTTGAAAAGTTTTTAAATTATTCGAATAAGTAATGCATGATCTAACACCCAAAATATATCAATTATACGAGTATTAATAAGTCATAAACCATATTATTTTTAAAAAATGTTATCAAGAAAAATTGTTTTCTCCACGACTATGTAATAATAGGTTAATTCTTAATATATTTCTGGTTTAAGTATGATATACATTCTTCCACTAGTTGAAGAATGTAATCATTCTTAAACTAGTGGAATAATAAAATCAACCAATCACAAACTACAAAATAATATAATATCATATTTATGTCCAATAGAAATTCACTAATACCTGATTATCAAAGGTGTGCTATGACTTACGTGAATTGACATAAACGTCAAAAATATGAATTAAACTGACCGTGTCTTAGATATTATTATTAGAATTATTACGAACTTTAAACAAAAAATCTGATGTGTCCAACACATGACTTTCCTATCTAGTTATTACAGGCTTTTTCCGGTTATTTTGTACAACCTATTGCAGCATCTCTATAAATGTTTAGAGGATAAACTAAATATATACATTGTCCACATCTACCGCGAAACATTTTTCTATATTCATTGAAAATGAAAAAAACTGAAAAATTTAAATTTAATACTTTTCCTACAATTTTTCCATTACGGTCCATTTTAAAAAAATCATGTTTAAACAAATATTCTAGAGATCGATATCGCAAACAACTTTTATTTCAACAATTTTCATAAAAATCAGAATTTTGCACATTTTGTCAAATTTTTCGAATACGGACCATTTCAGGAAATTTTTACATAAAGCAAAAATTATAGATAATAATATTAGAAGTAACTTTTATTTGAACAATTTTTTTCTCCAAACATAAATAACAGATATATTCCATAATATATAAAAACGGCCTCCCATAAAGTACCCCCCCAGATGTTCCGACTTTGTCCAAAATCTAATCATTTCACGTCAGGCCGAAATAAAACTTAAGTTTAAAATTTAATGTTTTTTTCTTTATCCGTTTTTGAGTTTTCTTCAAATTTCGAAATTTACACATTTTCTCAAATATCTCGAATACGGTCTATTTTAGAGAAATTATCTATAGGATAAAAATTATAGAGAATTATATTACAAACAACTTTTGTTTAAACAATTTTTATAAAAAAAAATATTTTTTTACATTTTGTCAAATTTCGCGAATACGGACCATTTTAGGAAAATTTTGTATATTACAAAAATTATAGATAATAAAATACGAAGTAACTTTCATTTGAAGAATTTTCTTCCCCAAACGTAAATAACAGATATATTCCATAAAATATAAAAATGACCACCTATAAAGTACCCCCCCAGATGTTCCGACTCTGCCCAAAATCTAATCAGCTCATTAGACGCTGGAAGAAAGCTTAAGTTTGAAATTTGGTGTTTTTCCGTGTATCGGTTCATGAGTTATGCGTTATACAGACACACACACACACACACACACACACACACACACACACACACACACACACACACACACACACACACACACGCGAAAATAGTCAAAACGGATTCAGGGGACCTCAAAACGTAAAAATCCGTCGAAAACTCGAGGTCGAAAAAAATCGTGATTCCTATACTTTCCTTATATCTGTATACAGATAGGAAAGTAAAAATAGATTCTGAAAACTTTGAAAGTGATAATGACATTAGATTTATTTCTAAACTTTTACCCAAAAAATCAGCAAAAATATATTTAACAGCGTACATAATATTTATGAAGTGGCGTATTGATAACAAAGCAAACTCCTTTTCAGAAAATATTCTACTGGCTTATTTTACAGAATTGTCGAAGAAATCCAGGCCTTTAACATTATGGAAAGAATATTCAATGTTAAAAAACACTCTTATTATAAATAATGATTTTAATATTAGTAATTATTCTAAATTAAATGCATTTCTCAAGCGCAAATCAACAGGATTCACTGCAAAAAAATCTAATACATTTACTCCAGAATAGATAAATAAATTTATAGAAAAAGCTCCAGATAATATTTATTTAGTAACAGGGGTAAGAAATTCCATGCAGAAATATTTTTATATAATTTATAGTAGGTATCTACCTACAGTCATAAGAACTAAAACTTAAATTTTTCAATTTGGGAAAATATTTTATTTTAATTGCTAATGAGTTTCATTTGATAGTTCGTAGAAAATGCAGAAAAGTTCTGACGTAAGATTCAAGTCCAATCCCGACGAATAATGTCAAATTTTTTATTATTCTTAATCCAATAATGCAACTACCATATTTATCCGGTAAAAAAATTCAACCTGTAGCTTGGTTGGTGTAGCGGTTAGCGTTCTGTACTGCCACGCAAACGATTCGGGTTCGATCCCGAGTGCGTTCGTCTTTAATTTTTTTAACACATATTTTGTTAACACATTCGCTGCTGACTAATATGCGTGTATGTTAGTCAGAAGCTGACGTGTCATTTTGTTAAATATGGTCTTTCAAGGTTTGTAATATTGCTAAAATTACATATTGTTACACAGGTTCTTGGTATCGCAATTTATTTCAACTCAACTTCAACAACTGATAACATTAACATGTAACGTCTATCATAAAACTGAAACTCTGACGTCAGGTCGTCGACTTATATAGCTTGCCTCGACCTTCTAGAACAATCCGGACTTTTCTTTGACAAGGAATGACATTTAGAGACATTTCTGGATTATTCTATCTTCTTTATTTACTCGTACCTTTACTTATGACGACCTCATCACGCTAAAGGATGCTGCGTAACATTGCTCCCTCCTCTCTAGTTATTCGCCCCGAATAACTTGATTACTGGGACCTGGCTGGAACCAATGGAGAGGTTCTGGACCATGGTATGGGGCTATCTTCCAACTGTAAACTACGTTGGATTTACCTCCCGCTGACAGTTGAATACGGCAGATCAGGTCGTTGATTTTCCTTAGGGACAGAGTAGGGGCCTCGCAAGTTCCGTTGCGATTTCTGACCTTAGATTATACAAACCTTAGATGGAACATAAGACACTGCGCATAATCCCATTTCGAAATTATTCACACCCACCAATCACAGTTGAGAACATCACATGTCAAAGCGTTGTCCATCCAAATTTAATGTCAACGAGAATTAATTTGGTTTTTTAGTGACTTAAATTTTGGAAATTAACGTTTAAAATGCCAAGATGTGTTGTAGAAAGCTTTATTTATAATAAAAGTGCGAAATGTGACGG